TGGTCTAAATAAAGGTACATCAAATCCTTCGGCCGGGCGGTGCTGATTAATAGGCATATTTGGCAACGGCATTCCAGCAAAGAACCCATGCCCTTGGGTTGGCTCAGGTCCTACCATAACGCGCCAGAGGTTGCCCTCTGAGACAGGCAGCTGGCCAATACGAGCCCATGATTTCTGTCCACGTCGTTTTGCCTCCAAAAGATATGTTGATGGTCGGCCGAACTCTTGGTCGAGGTGCCTCTCAGGTGCTGGCGGTGACCAGGACAGATCTAGTGCACGGTAAGCGTCTTCGGTAGCCTGACGGAGTCGATAGATGGAGCGCTCCATTTTCGATTGTTCTAGTCGTAGTGGTCCCATTGGGGGCGGAGGTGGAGCCGCAATCACAGCCGCTCGCTCACGCGTGGCCCCAGGTCGCACATAGTCCTTGGTGATGACTGGCTCACTGAGACCAGTTTCGTTTTGTGATCTAACTCGAAAAGCGTAGAGAAGATCGCCGATTAGGTGTGGTACCTCAATGTCGGTCACGCTTGCAGGCACTTTTTTGCATGGAACCCATTGCTTGCATCTCGAGTCCCATTTTTCGACAAAATAGAAGTCAATTTGACACAATGTACTCGGCGGCTTCCAGGAAAGGCGGCAATACACCTCGTCACTTCCAGGTTCGGCAAGAGGTGTGGCAATCAGGTCTCTTGGAGCTTTGGGAACAGGAGGTATATCAGTGCTTCCTGGACATCTGGGAGCTGTAGAAGTGACTGGAATGGACTCTCCCACTATGTTTAAGGCAGTGATAGTGATGCGATAGGTGTTGGCACCGTTTAGAGGTTCTATCCTGTGCGTGGTACACTGTGGAGGGACAACGATTTCCCTATCCTCACCAGTGTCAGCGTTATAGATCAATAAGCGGTAGCCTAACAGCTCCGAACCACCGTCATTGCTAGGCCTCAACCATGCTACGTCCAAGTGACAGTTGTCCAATGAAATGCCGGTGACAGGTGATATTTCTACGCCCCAAACGGAAGACGGGATAGTCGCCTGCTTCCGTAGAAGTACAGGCCGGTCCAAGAGGAGCGGAGTACCGACAAGGCGATCTTTATCTGCTTTAGGCAAGACACGGAACCACCAGCCCGGAGGATCTTTGACTGTATAATCCGGTGATCGTAGGCCCATCACAGTGTAGTCTGTCACATCGGTTGGAACCTGGGCAGTCTTGACCCAGCGACCAGCCCTTGGCTCCCACTGCTGGACCTCGTAGGAAGAGATGCAACTAGGGAGTCCCCTGGCCACGTCCGACCACTCAAGGCGGACAAAAGTAGGGCCGACCTCCCTGACGGTGAGTTTGCCGCTGAGCAGCCCAGGTGTCTGAGGGCTGAAGCCTGTCACTCGGGAGGCCGATCGTTGAGGCTCGTCAAAAAGAAGTGGTGACTCAACGTCGCTTAGGCGAGATGCAAGTCCTCTGTTCATCTCACTATCCAGTGGGGCTGGGTCGAATCTGGGCGTCATCATTGTACCGTAGGAAGGAGTCAAACCTGAGCCTGTTGTTCCTCGGCCCAGCTCCAGGGCTCGTTTGCGACGTTGATAGATGAACTCATCCACATCGCGCATGGTTTTGCGTTCAGCGTCTTCGGTTATAGTCTCAGTCAGTGCTCGTTCTGCCTGACCATCTTCCGGTAGCGCTCGTCGCCAGCCAACAGAGCTTGGCAGACTGAACCACTCAGTAGGATCGGTGGGCGACGATTGAGGCAGAGTTGGAGTAGTTCGACAAGCAAGAGACTCTGGCTGAAGTTGGAATTCAATTGGAACAGACCGGCTCGTATCGCCCAAACTAATTATGCGCATACGACGTGTTTCAAGCTTACCCGGCAACTGCTGTTCCTCTGAAAGCAAAAAAGATATGTGCCTTGGGGCCTCCGAGGGCAGGTCTATCACAGGCTTCCACCGGCTCCGCCTGTCATCCCAGTCTTCCAACTTGTAGCCACGAATCCTTTCGGCATCCGGTCCTGTTGGTGGGGTCCACTCGAGCTCAAGAGCACGATATGGCCCACTGCCTTCCACCTCAGCTTGATGCACACTAACTGAGGGAACTGGCGGAACGCGAGCAGCCGCTCGATCTGTGCTCGAGTCCGGCCGACGTCTTCCCACCTCAGAAGCGAGTATAACAGAAGTGGCCACCCAGGCACTGGTTCCTTCCGCGTAAACAGCACAAACACGATATCTGTAAGCGCATTCGTGCCGCGGAGCTGACAAAATATGCGAATACGTTGTTCTAGCTCGGTCAGTAACTGGTAAAAAGTCGACCTGGGTCCAATCGGCTGACTTAGAGTCCACATCCAGTTGTTCGATCTGGAATCCATTGGCACGAAAGTCGCCACGCTGTTCGGCTGACACCTCCCAGACAATTTCGATTCGCCTTCTGCCCATTTCATCTTCAGCATCTTCACCCTGTACACGACGTCCACGAACTGACTTTGGAGGATACAACTGAGCCCGCTTCACATAACTGTCTTCGGCTGTAAGTGGGGGACTGACGCCCTCCTTGTTGATGGCCAAGACACGGAAAAAGTATTCTCGGTTTGGCTTTATCCCTCCCAGTCTATGTGTGGGGTTGCAGCCAATACGAGGGCTCGTTGCCACCAGACCGGTGACAGCTGGCTTCCAGATAAAGCAACGACCCTCACGCAACTCTAACTGGTAGCCAAGTAGAGGCATGCCACCAGTCTGCAGTGGTGGCGACCAGCTGAGCTCGATTTCTCCGGGTGCGACTTCTCGAATCTGTAGGGGACCTCGTGGAGCACCAGGAATATCTGAAAAAGAAAGTGTCATTGAAACTCTTTTGATATAAGTAAGCAATAGCCAAGAAGGCGCTCATGAGAGTTGGCGAAAAATTATACACACGACTGAGCATAGTAAATCTGGAAGACACTAGTTAACTTTAGACATTCCTATCCTAAGATTATTAACAAAAAGGCGAAATAAGTCCTGCAAAGTCGCGATTTAAATTAAAGCCATAGAAAATAAATAGCAGCAAGAATGAATGTTACCTCTTCCAGTAACTACAATAAAAGTATAGTGTAAATAATGTTTGAAACTTATAGAAATCGAGAGATATCTGTAGACAAGGATAATTTGAGGATAAATGAAAAAGAAAAATTAGCAAGAAGTTTAGAACAAAAGCATCTGAACCAATAGAATCAAATTATTTGTAGTTTTCACTTATTCAACAATATGCTATGCCTCTTGCTTGCGAATCAGATTTCATGTCATGATAGTGTTTTATAAACTATTATAAATGTAAGAACAAAATGGCACAATGAGTAAGTTCGTGGTTGGTGAACTGATAGTGTGTTTGCTAGCCACAAATCGATAAGGATTCAATTGCACCAAGCCTCCCAAATGTGAACGGCAAGGTTAACTTACCCTATTTTATTCGTCACTTACTGCGAAAGTCGTTATGCAGACATGCGACTTCCTAAAGCTCCTCAACCGCTTGTAAATGAATGAGGAGGCATCCCATTAACAAGGGTTTTCGGAAATCGTCGCTCTATTGGGAATTGTGATAGAGTTAAAATCTGATGGGGTCATGATGGTAAAGTAGAAAATGTGTGATGTTGTTACACTTTTTCTTGAAAAAATTGTTCTGAGTGCTTTTCGCCGGTCGCGACCCCATCTCGATATGCTGATAAAATATGGAGCCAGCTATTGACTCAGTTCGATTTCATTAGCTATAAACATTTTATCTTAAGGCCTTTATTAAAATGTCCTGAGAGGTAAAGCAATGCTTACTTAATTGAGATTCCGTCCCTTTAAGATAGCTCGAATCCTATATCAAAACTATTTATTAGGTTTATTGTGGCTTTGCGATCTCATACAGTCCCGCAAAGATAAAACCTAGACTTTGACTCATCAAAGATGGAGAACCTCATAGGAAGAAAGGAAAACTAAAATTGACGAGCAAGAAGTGGATTGCGAAATCAAGTCAGAATCCAGTGTACGAGTCGTTACCATAAAACTTTCGTCGGAAAAATCAGATAGAGATTAAAATTTATAATAAAAAATAGGAATTTTTCCTCGCTTTTAAAAATGAGTCTACCTATCTCTTTTCTAGGCTGAATATGTACACTTGTATTCAGAGGTTCTGATAAACCGTTTATGTTCTCCGCTACCACCCGGAATTCGTAGGAGGTACCCTCCATTAAGTATTGGGCAATGAACTCGAGCTCCTTTTGTAGGCTGCCCGGGGCTATGGATATCCGACCTATCTCCTGCCAACTGCGGCGATAGATTTCGCGTTTGTAGACGCGATAGCCAATCAATGGAGAGCCGCCATCGCTCATTGACGCTTGCCAAAGCAAGCGACAGCTGTCTGCGGTGATGTCAGAGACGCGGAGAGGGCCCAGAGGTTGATTTGGCACCGCTATTAAAATAAAAAATAAATAGAGTTCAGTAGAGGATAGGGCTTTTTGTCTGAAGAAGTATGTGTCTTTTAGAAGTGAAGATCCTCTAACAAAGAAATAAATTGATTTCCACGTATAAACCAGTTAGGGTTGAGACAAGTTCAATTTTGAGCTAATATAATAATTCTACTTTGCCTTAGTATTGTTAACAATTGCTTGTGAAGGATTATCCTCCAATAATTGTATTGAGCATAAGCTAATGACAGCGGATAAATTAGCCTCTCAAAATGTCAGATTATGTAAGCAACAGAGGACACACTTGTAAAGGCTTCCGGTGAAACGGGTTCGGTCGTGGAGACTATCTCCCCTTGATTCTTTTGATTTATGGCTGCCACTCCGAAGTAATACTTCTTGTCTGATCTGAGTAGACCAACGACTAGTCGATCTATGTAATGGTCCAGATCAGCAACTCGGATCCAGGCATCTTCGGGCTGATGTGCCTCACGGAGAAACACGCGAAAACCGTCTAGGGCCAGATGGTGAGCCCGATTTGGTCCATGGTCAACTCGGCAGTCGTGTGGAACCAGCCATTCAATGGTAATGTTGTCGGAACCCTTGCCGACTACGCGTACCCAATCAGCCTTTGGCCGGCAGCCTTTAGAGTTTGGATAGAGGAAAAGGAGGGAAGATATTAAAAGCGTTTTTTTAATAGCTTTTATAGATAAAACAAATTAAAATATAATATAACTTTGGCTGTTTGAGAAGGCGGCGAAGATTAAGGCCTGCTTGAAAGTAGTTATGGAGTAGCAATAAGAAAAAGGGAAGCAAATACATTATTTAAAGTAGTCATTAGATTATCCAAAGAGAGGGAAGAGCTTACTGTCATCTTCTGGCATCCGGAATACCTCCGAAGTTAAGAAAGTTCCGGTACCAGTTTCATTGATGGCCGCCACACGAAACACATACTGCTGGGTCCGCATCAGACCCGTGACTGGTAGACTGGTCTGGAGAAGCGTGTACCTGCTTGCCGTCCCGGGCACTAGAGCAACTGTCTCTTCTCCACCTTCCTCGTCTGAACCAAAGGTTAGAACTGATTGGAGGTGGCGGACTCGATTCCAAACTGTGCTGTTAAAGTAACGCATCTGCACCAAGTAACTGGTTATTGGTGTCCCGCCATCCTCGAGAGGAGGCTGCCAAGAGAGCCTAACAGAGCCGTCCGCGGCTGACTGACCCATCTGAACCTCCGATATGTGTATCGGCCCGACAGGAGCAGAAGGCGGGCTGAATGGGCTGGCAATTAGAATAGGCTTTTCCATCTCCAGAGAGGGACCAAGACCCGCGATGTTCTCCGCACGAACACGGAAGCGCAATTCACTTCCGGAACGAAGTCCGGAAACCTAAAACGTACGTTTTTGATATTATCTAGCCGGTATGTTTCAAATCTTTAACATAATTTTAGCTTTTTAGTCGAAAGAACACCACAGAGACAAAGCCAGCAGGTTTGTACGACAGATAAACTTTTAACTTTCTTAGTTAATACCTCTTAAAAATAGATTGACTTGAGGAGGTTAAGTGCCCTGATTGATATCGCCAGATTTAATAGTCGTTAAATAAAATTATTAGATCTTGAGCGTTTTGTTAGTTACTCAATTGATCAAAAGAATGCATCATTCCCTGTAGGATTTACAGAGAAAGAATAGAATCTCACAGAAGGCAAAACACACTGCATGAGACGTATACACTAATTAAGGTCTCATCAAATTTGTATCCCACACTTTATTTGTAAGGATACTTACTTTTTTACTACACTCTGAAACTCAGCCACATTTTATGGATATTTAC